CGGCTTGAGGTTGAGGTTGAGGTTATGTATATACTGATATCATGATGTTGTTATTATTTTCAATGTTTACATTAGTATGAGTTTTCACGGAGCACAGTGCCATAGTGCTCACTCCCCATTTTTATCCTGTTTTTCAGGTCAGGACGTCGGGCCGGGAGCATGAGCTGACGGAGGCTTCAGGACATTTGTGTTTTTGACTGTATATTTGTGATGACGACTTACGCTTCCGCTAATGATATTTTGATGACTTGTGTCGATGTTTTGATGACTTTTGACGTACTCATTTTGACGAACTTATCTTCTGACGAACTTTTGGGAAAATTATGCTTTCAGTAACCGGACGATTTTATTAAAATTAAAACAATGGTTTTCTAAAGTAAGTCGCGATTTTAAGGTAGCACCCCGAATCAGTTTTCGCAAAGTAAAAAGGCTTTATTTTTAAATAACTTTGCGAATTTTTCGCACTCTGATTTTACGATAAGGGAGGGGTGTTACAATTGGTATCAGAGCACGTTTCTGCGTCTCTGAAAAAGATTTTCAGTTAGTAATTTTTCAGAAAATCCTGAACCGTCATGCTCACGCCCCGCCGACGACAGGTAAGTGCTGATTCAGTTTTTCAGTTATAAACATATTACTTTGTCTATGCTCAGAATTAAGGATCAGGACTTTAGTTAAGATGCTCGAATCAGATTCAGACTTTAGAATTCGGACATGACTCTAGAATTCAGGACCTTCAGCTATGACTCTAGACATTAGGATTTTCCTAAATGACTCTAGAGTTCTTCAGGATTCATGTCAGTAATTATCGGCCACTTTTGGGCGACTCGTCAAGAGATTTGTGTGCCTTAGTAATCAGTCAGAATGTTAGCACGTATTCAGTAATGTTAAACTTTTCAATGTTTGGATGCCGCCACGTAGGGAACTCGATCATCAGGCTCCTACTCAGGCTACGGTAATCGCTCAGTTCCGCGACTATCACGCCGAAAAGTTCTCAGGGCAGGGAGATCCCCGCATCGTTGATGAGTGGATTCAGGGCTTAGAGTTTATCTTTGAGGTTATGGAATGCTCCGATAGGTATCGCGTAATCTGCGCTCAGCTTCAGCTCACTGGTGATGCAAGGCTCTGGTGGAATGCCTACTGGAGCATGCGTCTCGGTGAAAAGGCGGTTGTACATGGGACATGTTCAAGGAGCTAGTCCGCGACAAGTACTACCCTTCCTACTATCGGGCAGAGATAGAGCGTCAGTTCTTAGCGCTTCAGCAGGGCACTCGTACTGTTGATGAGTACGAGCGAGAGTTTATTAGACTTGCAGCTTTCGCACCGGACCTGGTTCGCACGGAGGCTCAGAGAGCGCAGCGGTTCATCGACGGGCTTTTCCCAGCAGTCCGTCACAACATCGTGGGACACGGGACGCAGATCTACGCTCGTGCAGTTTCTATCGCCCAGGAGGTGGACGCTAGCATACGGAGAGAGGCCGTTCGTGATCGTGCCCAGCCATGTGCCCCAGTTCAGCCATTTGCAGCTCCACCAGCTCTACCAGCCCCTCAGCCAGCAAAGGAGAAGAAGAGGAAGGGAAAGGGTGCACAGACTGACCGGAGGACCCAACAGATGTTGGAAACCACGAGGATCTCGATATGCACAAATCACGGACAAACATTCAACATAAACCTATGCGCAGCGGATTTAAAGGTTTGATGAAGAAAACTTACTGCTTAAAATTATGTAGATCTGGTTGGCCCGAACAGTTGACCGCAAATCAAATCTTCTCGGAATCGAACAAACTTAACCAATCCAGAAAGCTGACGTCACGGCGAAGTCAACGGCGTTGACCGGTCAGAAAACGGACCTTCCACGCGCTCTCACGCGCGCGAGTGACTCTCGGCAACTGCTCCCTTCCGGCGGCGCGTGCGGCGGCGGCTGGCGGCGATCTCGACGGCGATCTCTTCGTCTCGTCGTCCTGGTCGTCGTGGTATGGTCACTTGCTGGTTTTGGTCTCCGGTTTGGATGTATGATCGGAATCTCTATATACCTTAAGATCTTCTACTGTATTCTCAAACAGCTTTCTAGATCTTGTATCAGTGGAGCACAAGAAATAGAAGAACTCCTTGGAAGAGAGAGAAAGGAGAGCTGGACGTGTTTCCCAAGGTGTGGGATTGTTCTCATTGTTCTCTTCCATGAGCCTAATGCTGTATATATAGAGCTACAATAGGGACCCTAAGGAGAATAGGATAAGGGCTTCTAATATATTAATACTGTGGAGCAACTCCACAATTAATATATTAATAATATTAAAGTCCACCACAATAATATTATTGCTCTCCCTTCACCTATCCCAAATTACATTTGAGACTCCTTATTATAATTATCCGATTTACCTCCCCATGTTTAAGATATAATGTCCATTAATTAATTCGATCACTAATAATCAAGAATTAATTAATATATTATATTACCGAAGCTAGCGCTCGCTCATAGCATTCATATTATGCCGGAATAAATCCACCTGCAGGGTTTAGCATAATATTCCTTCATGAACTCACTTCGGGGACATCATCACACTAATGCACATGGTGACCGTAAATATCCTAATAGCACATCTAACACACAATGTTATTACCCAATTCATTAAGTGTGTCGACCCGACTTGGATCTCACCCAAAGAATCAAAGCAACAACAATTATGTGCACATGCCTATTTAATATCTTACGGGTTAAGAGCACGCAATAATTAACCGAGGCCTAGTTCGTTTACGACGATTAGTATAAAACGAACATCCCTCTCTGGGATCCTGTTCAATACATAAATGTACTAGTGCAACTAATCGGTCAAGACAAACCGTACGGTTGACACTACAACCGTTCCGATGGGTTGTTCAATTTCATCTAGGTTGTGAACCAACGATTCTTGTTTCGCAAGTAACTGATATAGTGATCTTCGGTATGCCCGATGATGACCCACTTATCTACATGCAAAACAACATAACGTGGAACTTATTTAACCAAACATAATTCTCATTCATCAAGGAATAACAAGTGTAATATCCACTAAAGCAAAGCTTAAGTATATAACACCAACAACAGAGACAGCAGCCAATTCCACCATGCCCGACTTGTGGTCGACTGCATCGTGGAGAGTGCCATGTGGGACAAGATATCTGCTACTATTGCCACGAGCCAGGACATTTTGCGAGTCGCTGTCCGAAGAGACTCCAGCAGCAGCCCCAGCAGCCTCAGCAGCCACCACAGCAGCAGCAGCCACGTCAGCAGGCACAGAGGCCGCCGCCGCAGCAGCCGCAGCCGCAGCAGCCGCAGCAGAGGGGCAGACAGCAGGCCAGGGTTTACGCGGTCGATCAGGCAGAGGCAGCACAGCAGCCAGGTACTATGTCAGGGATGGTTGTTCTCAATGATATTCCTGTGTTTGCTTTATTCGATACTGGAGCGACACATACTTTCATTTCACGACGATGTCTCGATGCTATCGGAGTTCACGCCGTTACCGCTGTCGATCCTCTCGAGGTGAGTTTAGCCTCGGGACGAAAGATAGTGACCTCAGCTAAAGCCTCAGATCTTAGCCTTTCCATCGGTGGCCGAGTATTGACTGTCGACGCGTTTGTTCTCGAGATGAGAGACTTCGACCTTATTCTCGAAATGGATTGGCTATCCTTCTATTATGTAGACATCAGGTGTCATGACCGGGAGATCACTCTCTATCTTCCGGGAGACGAATCGATCACTTTCTTCGGTTCCAGGAATCGTTCACTGCCTCATGTTGTTTCGATGGCGAAAGCCACTAAGTTATTGCGACGAGGCAACTGCCAGGGTTATCTGGTTAGCCTTGTCGATGATTCTCAGAAAGCGCGGACACCTCATGATATTCCAATCGTTCACGAGTTTGTGGACGTGTTCCCAGACGAGCTTCTAGGAGGACCGCCTAACCGTCAGGTGGAGTTTTCTATCGATCTCATTCCAGGGGCCGGTCCAGTATTCAAAGCCCCGTATCGTATGGCGCCTAAGGAGTTGCAGGAGCTTAAGACTCAGATTCAGGAGCTATTACGACTCGGTTTTGTCCGACCGAGCGTGTCACCTTGGGAAGCACCAGTTCTCTTTGTCAAGAAGAAGGACGGATCCATGCGCATGTGTATCGACTACCGGGATCTTAACCGGTTGACGATCAAGAACAAGTATCCACTTCCCAGGATCGACGACTTATTTGATCAGCTGAGGGGAGCCTGTGTGTTCTCGAAAATTGATTTACGATCAGGCTAACACCAGCTGAAGATTAAGGAGTTAGATATCGCTAAGACCGCTTTCAGAACTCGTTACGGCCATTACGAGTTCGTCGTCATGCCTTTCGGTCTCAGCAATGCGCCAGCAGTTTTCATGGACCTCATGAACCGTATTCTCCATCCCTACCTCGATCAGTTTGTTATTGTCTTTATTGACGATATTCTTATCTACTCAAAGAGCCAGAAGGAGCATGAGGAGCATCTGAGGGTGGTTCTCGAAACCCTCAGACGAGAAAAGTTGTACGCCAAATTCTCCAAATGCGAGTTCTGGCTTCAGCGAGTATCCTTTCTGGGTCATGTGATTACTCAGGCAGGTATCGAGGTGGATCCTTCGAAGGTATCAGCCGTTCAGAACTGGTCGACACCGAGGAGTCTGTCCGAGGTTCGCAGTTTTCTCGGTCTAGCTGGTTATTATCGCAGGTTTATCGAGGGCTTCTCCAAGATCGCCCTCCCTCTATCCCAGCTGACGATGAAGTCTGTGAAGTTCAAGTGGACTGATCGTTGTGAGGCGAGCTTTCAGGAGCTCAAGAGGAGGTTGACTTCAGCACCGGTGTTCACTATTCCCGATCCTTCTCGGAATTTCACTATCTTTAGCGATGCTTCGAGACAGGGCTTGGGATGTGTCCTTATGCAGGACGACCAAGTCGTCGCGTATGCTTCACGTCAGCTTAAGCCTCATGAGCAGAATTATCCTACGCACGACTTGGAGTTAGCAGCAGTCGTTCATGCTCTCAAGATCTGGCGACACTATCTTTACAGCGGACGTTGCGAGATTTTCACAGACCATAAGAGCCTGCAGTACATCTTCACGCAGAAGGAGCTCAACATGAGACAGCGCCGTTGGCTCGAACTTGTCAAGGATTACGACTGCTCTATTCAGTATCATCCGGGAAAGGCAAACGTCGTCGCTGACGCCCTTAGCCGAAAGGTGATGGGTGACTTGACGTATGTCATTACTCAGCAGAGTCCGTTGATTCAGGAGTTTGCCCGGATGCAGCTTCAGGCGATCGATGCACTTCCCATAGCCGTTTCAGGGAGTACCAGTGCCAGTATCAGTGCTATGCAGCTTCAGCCGACGCTGAGAGAGAGAATCTGGCGAGAGCAGGCTTATGACGAGTTTGTTCGTGTTATGGAGGCCAAGGTTCGCGCCAGAGGCGTCGAGGATTTCCAGTTAGGTGCCGATGGTGCCCTAGAGTTCAGAGGCAGGATCGTGGTCCCGAAGGTCGAGGCGTTGCGGAAGGAGATTTTATCAGAGGCTCATACCGCACCCTATCTGGCCCATCCCGGGAGCACGAAGATGTATCACGACCTGAAAGGGTCGTTTTGGTGGCGAGGCATGAAGAAAGACGTCGCCGAGTTCGTCAAGAGGTGTCTTACCTGTCAGCAAGTCAAAGCCGAACATCAGAGTCCGATCGGCCTCCTGCAACCACTACCGATTCCGAGGTGGAAGTGGGAGGAAGTCACGATGGATTTCGTTACGGGATTACCGAGGTCGTCTGAACATCACGACGCTATCTGGGTCGTGGTCGACAGATTGACTAAGGTTGCGCATTTCTTACCCGTTTCGATGAAGATGTCCCTGGACAAGTTGGCTGAGATATATACCCGTGGGATCATCCGACTCCACGGAGTGCCCGTTACGATAGTATCAGACAGAGATCCCAGATTCGTCAGTCGATTCTGGCATAGTACATGAGGCGATGGGCACGAAGTTAGAGTTCAGTTCAGCCTACCATCCGGAGACGGACGGTCAGTCAGAGCGGACTATTCAGATGCTTGAGGATATGCTTCGCGCTTTGGTTGTTGACAGGGGTGCTAAGTGGGAGTCACTGTTGCCGTACGCCGAGTTCGCGTATAACAACAGCTATCATTCTTCTATCCAGATGGCTCCTTACGAGGCACTTTATGGTCGCAAGTGTCGTTCCCCTCTCTATTGGGACGACGTTGGAGAGCGACGAGTACTCGGTCCTAAGATGATCGAGGAGACAGCGGAGCAGGTCGAGTTGATCCGGCAGAGACTCAGGACAGCCCAGAGTCGACATAAATCTTCCACCGATCATCATCGACGAGACATTCAGTTCGAGGTTGGAGAGCCAGCTTTTCTCAAAGTTCGTCCGATTTGCGGAGTCGTGCAATTCGGAAAGAGAGGGAAGCTGCACCCCCGTTTCATCGGTCCTTTCGAGGTTCTTGAGCGAGTAGGCGAGGTCGCGTATCGTCTAGCCCTACCTCCCGAGTTGTCAGGCATTCATAATGTATTTCATGCATCGATGTTACGTAAGTATGTGTGCGACCCTGATCATGTCATTCCTCTTACGGATATTCAGGTTCAGCCAGATCTATCGTACGAGGAGCGACCGGTAGCTGTACTAGACCGTCAGGTTCGTCGGCTCCGGAAGCGAGATA